TGTACAATTATAGTAATTTAATTTTTAAAATAATATTTTACTTTACGCGAAACAAGTTATACGATTATTAGAATCAAATGAGATAAATAAATAACAAATAACTAAAAAGTTATTACTTGTGAATCATTCGATTGATATTTTTTACATGAAATTTTTTTTCTTTGTTCAATTTTGTTTTCTTAAATAGAACAATAATTAAATAACTAACTTAAAAAGGGCAATTTTTAGTCAAATTAAATGTCATATAAAAGAAACTTTTATTATAGTTTTTTAGTAGAAAAATTGTTAACAGAAGAAAGCGTCTATTATAGAATATAATTTTTTAACTCGTGCTCAATATTTTTATGAAAATTGAAAATAACTAAATATTTTATACTATTAAATAATATGAATGTAGTTTAGTTATTATGTCGTATTAACGATAATCTTACCTTAAACATAGAATATAAGAATTGCGTCAAACCGGCATTATCGTCCAATGATGACATGGTTGAAATGAACATGGTCATATGATTAGAACTGCAAGCCTATTTTTTCAATAATTCTTCATTTTCTTGAATAATAATCAAATTTAATAACAATACAAATAATTTCTTATTATTTTCGTTATAAATTATTAGTTAATGAAATCTAGATAGCTAATGTGTTTTCGGGGGGGGGAAAAAAAATTGCAAGACTGCAAGAGTTTTGCAGTGATGATCTTGTTTTGGTCTTGGTCTTACAGCTTCGGTATTGGTCTGGTCTTGTTCTTGCAAGCCTAATCTTGGTCTTGGTCTTGCTAGATCAGTACCGTCTTGGTCTTGGTCTTGCAGCAAGAATCTTGCGAGATCGCAAGACCAAGACCAATTTTGATCATCACTAATTATCATACTTTCCAGTCCTCTGGAAATTTTCAAAATAATGCTTTTTGCAAAGCCCAATAAATCACTAGATACCCCTTCCTCTTACTGACCAATAAGTCTGTTACCTTTTCTATCCTAAGTACCGGAAAGACTGATTCTAAAGCAGTTAACACTGAGTCTATGTGAAAATCGCGGAAAAAATATCGCGAAAGTAAAATTCGTGAAAATAAAATAGCAAAAATAAAAACATTAATAGCAAGAAAAGAAAGAAATTATTTTCGTTAGTGGGTATACCTTTATAATATAATAATACTAGATAATCAATAATGTAATTTTGTACTATTGCGTTTTGGATCACGTAATAAAAATAAGCCGTGGTTAAACCTAACCGCTGTCAAGCTTTATATATTATATATATAAATTGAATAGACTCTATTCTATTATCAATGCTATTATTTAAGTCAAAATATATTAAGGATTTGTATAATTTTATTAATTGTAAAATGTGTTATATTTTTACCTTGACCCCCCCTCCCGCGAAAAAAATTCTGTGTGCGCGACACTGTTAACACCACATACCTATCATCATTAATAGCATTCTCCCAAATACCCAATTCGGTTTCCGGGCCTCTCACAGCACGATACATCAAGCACAAAGAATTGTAGATGCTATTTCAATATCACTTGAAAAGAAACTTTACTGCACATATGTTTCTCAGGCCAAGGGCGTATTTGAGGCTCCCCCATTTACCCCATGGCTCCTATTCCCCCCCCCCCCCCCATGGCTCGTATTTTTTTTTAATATAAAACATTGATTTATTTAAAAAATGTAATGTATAAATAGTTAAGAATTTAAATTACTAATCTATCATTATAATATGATAATAAATTCAATAATATGTCAATTTGATCAAATTTTATTTATCTTCTTATATCATAACATTTTTGGTTGTGGAACAAATAGTGGTATTATCTTCCACGGATATTGCTACGGTTATAGACATTTACAACCATAACTGAGGTATTTATCAGATAATATAAAGTAATTTAAAGTAACACTTTTTTTACCACACATTAACTAGTTAGTCATTTTTTGATGCATTTATGCATATTGTATTTATTAGAGCTGTATAATTTCTTAATAATTTTACTCGCCTATTTTTTTTTTTACAACATAATATCTGGTAATTTTTGTTGTGCATAGGTATTTAGTCATTTTTTTGTGCACAAATTCATGCATATTTGTGTATTTTATAGAGCTAGAAGCCTATAATTCAAATAATAATTATAATAACTGACAATATCTGTTCCCATATTTTTAAATTCAAATATTGACCAAAAATATATTTTTGTAAATTGAAAACATAGTTAAGATCAAGAATAGGCCAGCATAGACTTATAGATTTGGCTTTGATGTATGTGCATAAAAATATTATTGTATTCATTGATAAAATAATCAACAAATTTGCCAAAATGAAAAAAAAGAAATTTGGAATTTGTTATTTGACCATTTACCAACATTATGTTTTCTACTTAGATATTTGTAAATTAAGTTACCTATTTTAATTGTTTTTAAAGTTTTTAAAAAATAATTAATAGGTACTATTACTACTATAATTATTTGTTGTTTTTTTTTTTATACAGGATTCAAACTGAATGTACAATTTTAGTATAAGAACTATTTGTGTTGTTATTATTAATACTTATTTTATGTGCAGTAGGTTTTAAATATATTTATTAAATAAATATTTAATTCGATTTGGCACTAGTATTTTTATTTATTCACTCGAGTGAGCAACAGGAACATGAGCTATAGTTAATGAACCAGTGGCGTACCCAGGAATTTTTTAGGGGGGGTGGTCCAAAATTTTTATTTTATCTGTTCTCTAATTATAATTATAGTTTAATTCAATATCAACAAATTACTGTTAATAACTATAGTAATAATCACAATAGTTTTATACATATCACACACATTCTGCACAAAGGTCTACTATAATAGATAGGTACTATAATTTGAAATCAATTTTTATTTGGTAGTAAAATGTTATAAAAAAATACGTTATTTAACTAACAATAATAAATAATATTAAAAAGTCAGCATAAATTAAACATGGTTTATACATTATAGGTATATTATATAATCTATAAACTTTGTATATTGATGATAATGAGAAATTAAAATACACTGTATACTATTTACTATTAAACCATTAAGTATGTAGAAATTTCAAAGGGTGGTCCGGACCAGACCACTCCCCCCTTGGGTACGCCCCTGTAATGAACTGTAAATTATTTTTAAGTTTGTATTGAAGAAAAATTAGTTTCGTCCCCCTCCCCCCCCATGGCATCAACTCAAATACGCCCTTGTTTCAGGCCTTCGACCGAGTCTGGCATAAAGAACTACTTTTTAAACTTAATCAATTTCTCCCCCTCCTTATTTCTTTTAATAAAATCATATCTGACTGACCGCTACTTTCAAGTTCAACACAGCTTCTCTACTTCGGAAATTTTAAAAATGATTGCTGGTGTCCCTCAAGGTAGTCTTTTATTTTTCCTTACTTTTCAACATTATTTACTACTGACCAGACCACTACGCAACAAACTATAGTAGTAGACTATGCTGACGACAAAGTTATCTTGTCTGTAAGTGAAAATCCATTAAATCATCTAACCTACAAAATCATCTTAACCTCATGTCCGAGAAGATATACAAAATGGTGAATAAAAATTAACCAAAATAAGTCGATCCACACAACATTCACACTTAAACAGGGTATCTGCCATACCATTACTCTTTATAACACCCAGATTCCCACCTCCAATACAGTTAAGTACTTAGAACTCAACCTTGATAAATGACTGACTTAGAGTAACCATGTCAGTTTAAAAAGACTAACACTTAATGCCTGCCTGCGTATGGTCAAGTCTTTGCTATCAAAAAACTAATAAAATACTAATAAAAGTTGCCAATGGGTGACTGCTTACTTAAACCCTTCATGTCAACATCTACCCTTAGCATATACCTAAGCTTATTTTAATTCAATAGATTGGGTACATACTAAACGAGCAAATTTTGAGCGAATAAATGTGCCGAAACGCTTAATAAATTACACTAATATTTAAGAATTTATAGATAAATTCTAAAAAATGCCCTAAAAATGCATATAAAGTTAAATTTGTCATAAAATGCAAAATAAAAAATACACTAAATTAATCAGTGTCACTTAAAACCATTTTTTTGTCGCGGACCTATGTGTCGGGACGTCAGAAAAAAGATGTATTTGCATCGAAATCTCAGCCCTAGTCATAATGATTCACGGCCCATGGGTTGGGAACCGCTGCTCTATAGTAACGTATAGGGTACGTCGACCAATGGCGTATACATAACTTTTGTATGGGGGGATTATTTGCAAACAAATCATTATTTTTATTTTATCGTTATTTATTTTTCTTAAGTTTCTAACGCCCTCACACTAAGAAAACTATTTTATAACATTTCAAGAAAGGTCTAGGGGGGATTTGACCCCTTGTATACGCCCAGTGGCGCACAGTAGATTTTTGACAAAAGTGTCGAAAATATATATTTCGAGATGCCTACCTACCCCCACCAGTAAAATCTGAGTTTAGGCATAATATAACTTTTAATTTTAGGTGTTTTTGGTTTTTTTTTTTCTAACAAAGATACTAAAAATAAAATTTTTTTAAATAAACCTAATATTAATTATTTTTTAATTTTCTGGGTACCTATTCATTTATAAGTTTGTACAGCATAATTTTTGGGATTGAGCCCTTCTACTTCTTCTCATGTGACACTTTAGTTCTAGTTAATTAGTATGTTGATTTGAATAGCTGAAAAATTGTCTAGTATTATATTTAACAAATATTCATACAAGTTCATACAGAACTAGTCATTCACAAATTCTCTGAGGGGTATCAGTCGACACCCCTGACCGCCCCCTTGTGTGGGCCACTGTATACGCCACTGACATCGACGGTCGATAACAATAAGTGCCCGTTTTAGAAAAAGGTATTACTTCATTATAACACAATCCTACTGTCTACGACAAGAAACAGAGAGAGCAGGAGAAACTATAAACAACAAGAATTTCGAAATATTTGGCGAAATCGGATTACGTATTATGACTTTTCCTGTGACGTGTTATCATTATGATCGAAGAAATCGCGTGTGATAAAGCGATAACCGAGCGGGACAAATACAATTATTTTATTATTATGTGTCGTTGTAACAATAATATTTCTAACGAAACGTAAACTGTTATCATTTTCTAGTGGCGATCTGTTTATTTTGTATAAACAGATTTTGTTGCAATTATTATGTTTTATATTATTTCACCGTCCAAGAACATCACTTAAAGACCACTTAGGTCCTAGAGACGGTTTTCTGAACTTTTTGCACAAATAGATCAACATATCTTCCGAACAATGAGCTCCAATATTAACATTGAGAAATTAGTGGAAAAATCGAGGTGAGTAATGTTTTGGAATAAATCTCAGTTCTAAGTTTTCACCGTAAATTTATTTTTTGTCTCTCGATTTTGTTTATGTTTCTATGAACGGCTTACATTATTTATTCATGAAGAATCAGCGGATCAAGTGTCTGACCGCATTAAAAAAAAAAAATAAGCTAATTTTGCATAAATTGTTATTTTGGCAATATCATAACTATGTCGTTTACTTGTTATGCCATTGCCTAATAATTGTTTAATATTTTTTTTCAATAAATTAAAATTGTGTATTTTAACTAGTGAACTAAGGAGTATTAATTGCATTTACAAGACTTGAAAAATATGATAATTACAGGTTTCCAAAGACTGTCAACGAAACTCTTGGAGTAATTGCTTATTTTCCATTTGGGGTTGTTATAGCAGCATTAAGAGTTTTTATATTAGTAAATGCAATATTTTTAACTATTATTTTGAGTAATTATCCAAAAGTGCGCAGGTGAGTTATATAAATCAATTTGTAAAATTTTAATCGCTGTATAATGGATAAATTGCTTGTTGCCAGGCCACTGCTAAGAATTATTTTAGGTGTTCTTGGTTTAATCGTAATTGAAAAAGAAAATTCTGCATCCAAAAACAGCAGAGTGTTGGCCTCAAATAGTTTATCAATATTCGATTTCATTGCGTTGCATTTGGTCACAGGGGCTTATACAGTAAGTTTTGATATGAAATTAAATGATCATAATGGGCTTACTTTAATATCATAATACTATTAACATATTTTAGCCAACACTAGCATTCAGTGAAACTATAGCTTTTTTTATTGGAATGGTGTCTGTAAAGCCCCATGATATGACAGCTGTAAACGGCCTTGTATTGAAAAATTTTATATCTGACGAAAATGATGAAAAGTCATTACTCCTATTTCCAGAAGAAGCTTCAACCAATGGAAAATATGCTTTACTCAGGTATACTACAATATGTTGTGTATAATATGTACTATTATAATCTTTCTTTTTGTTTTTATTTATTTATTTTTTAATTGTTATTGAATTAGATTTTCATCTCTACCAGCTGTTGTAAGTGACAATGTGCAACCGGTAGCTTTAAAAATAACAAGGCCATTTTTTGCTAATATTAATTTATCAGTACTCGGATCAAGTATTTTTTCTGAAATATTTTGGTTCTTTTTTGTTCCATATACCAAATTTGAGTACAAGTAAGTGTTTTTCATACTTTTTTAAATTCTCATCAATATTTATTTCAATTAAAATGTTATAATTTACAATGCCAGACTTCTCGAAGTGATCAAAAAATCTAAAAATGAGACTAATGATACAATGATGCTTCGGGTTGAAACAGCTATTTCAAAAGAACTCAACATATCTACCTCGGAGCTCACAATTAAAGATAAAGTATTAACATTATAAAAATAATATTGAGGAATCATTTAAGTTATTCATTTGAACGCTAATTCTTATTTTAGAATGAATATCTAGAGAAATATTTACTAGAGTTGGAAGAAAAGGCTAGAAACCGGAACAAATGGTCAACAATTGATAATCTTGATGATGATCCCGACATTTTTAGAATGGCTGCCCAAGTTGCTGATGTTCTTCCATATGTTCCCCAACATGCTATTGTTGCCAATCTTAGTAAGTTTATTAATAAAATATTTGAAAAATCCTTGTTTACCTAAAATTTGTTTATTTTAAATAAATTTTTTTTTTTAATTTCAAAAACAAGTATATAGTTGTATTATGTATTTCTTATTTTTAATATAGAAAATTGTAATCAATTATTGGTTACCTACGAATTGTCATTATATTATTATTTTATACTATTTTAGGAAGAACAAGAAGTGTTGATATAACAATAACAAATATACTTGATGGCACCATTAGATATACTCCAGTTCCTCTGACTTGCAATGCACCAAAGTCTGAAGTAAGTTATTCTTTGTATGAATTATACATAACTCAAATCTTCCTGTATATTTTTCTTTAGATGTTTCATAGATTTTTGGAACTGAATATTATTCAATAAGATTATAGTTAAAATATAATTTAAGAAATTTGTATTCATAGTTTGCATCAACGAGTCTTAAACATAATATTTTGTTTTTCTATTAAAAATAAAATTCTGTTTTTTTTTTTTTTTAAGTAGATTCTTTAACAATTTCTTTAAATTATTATAATATAAACCAAAATATAAATGTAAATCTTATTTTAATGTAGCCAATTAGGAAATTATTTATCATAAATGTACCCACTTACCAATAGTATTATAGAAACTGTTGATAGTCAGGTATACTTAAATTAATTGATGAATGTTTGACATTTTAAAGTCCAAAAAACCAGAACCGAATAATTTTGGAGTTGGTTCATTCATGGAGAGAAAAACCAAGTTAATCGAAGAAGCTCGCCAACGTTACATAAAAAAACATGGATTACATCACTTGGTTCAATAGCTTATGTCTGCGTTAGGACAATGGTAAGAGGAGGAAAATAACTTACAATGACGTCGTCGTCAAGAACATTTCTAGTTCTATAAATGCTCTTTGTTTTTATTACTATTATAACTTTTATTTGTACGGAAATTGGGCAGGTACTTACCCAAGTATTACTAAATGTGCTTGTTCTTGTATGAAAGTCTAGAGAATTTTAACGAAATGACTAAAGGCAATATATTATGTACATATTATATTATAGTATACTAACTTTTTTCGTTAATACTATTTTTACTGTCCATTTTCAGTGCTAAAATGTTTGTTTTTTATTTATTTCTTATTTTTCTCAATTGGTGCGTTCACAAAAAAAAATATTAAAAATTAAAAAAAAATTAGACGATGTATACAGATCATCATGATAGTGGGTTGACCAAATGATATGCGGTCATATAAATTGATTTTGTTATCATATGTAATAATATATATATATATATATATATATATATATACAATACCTACATTAATAAGAAATTATATAATATTATGGTTGTAAGACTTAACAACTTGTATTATGTTATTTTAAAATTATATACAATACACGTTGATTCGAGCTTTAATAATATTGTTTTATTTTCATTACTAATATTATTTTTAATATTACTGTACAAAGTGCGAGCAAGGTTAAATCTTTTGCCGCAATATAAAAAAAAAAAAAACCGATTAATAAGTCAAAGGGGAAAACTAAAAAAATATTTTAATGTTGATTGGTTTTTAGCGAGCAGAGAAATAACTACCTATTATCTGTAACAAGAGAAATAACACAAAAAATACACAATGAGCCGCTTAATTAGGACAACACTTAATCATAGTATAAAATATATAAACATATACAAACACACACATTTATGTATGCATATACAGAATAAACACATAATAAGAAATATATAATATACGTTGTTTTATTTTTGTTATTGCTTTGAATATTAAATAGTTTTAATAATTAATTTTGATATAGTAAAAATGTCTATACTCCTTTGCATAAAGGTGGCGATCGATCAAAAGAGTACAGGGAAATAACAATTGTTGGAAGGCAACAACACATTCACCGTGAATATGTTACGCACTAACACCATAGTAAATATTGATAATATCAAATTGTTTTTAAGGCACCTTAGAATAGTTATTATACCAAGCTAAACAAGTACTACCCGTGATTATACTACACAACAATATAATAGTAGAATGTATATCAATAAAATTTAACAAGAAGCTCTATTCTTTGGGGGCGTTGTAAGAATCCATTTGCCTCATAGGAACAAACTAATAGTCATCATTGTAATGATAAAATAATTGATTAGCTAATAGTAATGATATTTTTGTCCACCAACATATTGTTGGGTTATGCCAATTCAATTGAAATAGAAGTTTCAAAATGTTTGCTCAAAATATATACGAAATATACAGAGAAAAATAAAATCACCATGTTATGTTTTCTCTTTGCTTATGGTATCGAGTTGTTGACTGTTAAAATGTTTACTAAAATATTATTGCACTAAAAATAATAAACTACAAGGGGTTTTCAAGATCTAATAACGTATAATAATATAAACTATTATAAATAAAATGTATGAACAATATCAATAAAAATGATCCCGATAAAAACATTTAAGAATTTTATAATACTATAAATGTATTATTTCAACATAATCATTCAAATTAAAATAGAAAAAATTAATCATTATATGCAGTCTCTTAATGAGTTAACATTTCTTTGCGTACAAATGGCCATTGCTGAATTAGATCTGTACGAGAAAAAAAATGAAACTCTTTTGGTGTGCGCTAAATCTTAAATACACTGTTGTAATAATTTATATTATATAGTAAAACCTGTGATATCATTAATATGACATTTTATTTATTTTTATTATATAGATGGACTAGAGCCCAATTGTTAATAATTAAATGTATACAAGTAAAAAAAATATGTCTACATATGTCTTAGATGCTCTGTGGTATTAATTTTACTGTCAATAAAAAAAAAAAAAAAAAAAAATAATAATAATGTATTAACCAAATAGTGAAAATTAGATCATAGTAGAAAAACAGAAAAAACAAAAAATATAATATACACACAACATTATAGAGTATTAAAGTATTAAATTCTTGGTTGATACCAAAGAATTCGACCGGCTAAACACCCCGATACTAGCAAAGGATGGACAGGTGAGAATTTGGTACAGAGTACAATGTTAGAGTGAGATACGTTTGTACCAATTTCGTGGAGTTTGATTCCAGGCAATTTTGGTTGTAAGGTAGATAATTCATCACAGTTGGGGGAAAACGATAACAATCTAACTCCATTACTAAAAGGGGAGCAGATTAAACGTCCGTCATTGGAATAACATAATTCTTTAATAAAACCTCTACCTACATTGGCTTCTTCAATGTAATGTGTAAGACGGTTAAAGTTTTTATGAATTTTATGATCTGGAGGCACCTGGAATCTATTCATGCAGCTGAGAACGTAGTTGTTACGGCGCTGCCGGTTGCCTATAAATACTACTGTATCCGCTACAGTTCCAACATCTGTATTACCTACACGTCTTGGACGAGCACTTTCACCTCTGGAATTACCCATTAGATAATTACGCATTCTCAAATCAGGAGGGCTATTGCGGTTTATTAATACTGTCACCAATCTTTCGGATGCCGGACGATCTTCTGCCATAATTTCATCCAAATCTTCTTGTTCTTGTAATCCAGTTGCGCTACGTACAATTCGCACTCCGGAATATGTACCTAATACACGCTCTCGTCCTTCTAAAAAAACAAATTTATTTTCAACATTAAATATCTGTAAGAATTGCAAGTGAAAGTTTGTTCGTAAATTGTAGTTTAATTAATAAAACATTTATTGTTACTAAGTATTAAATATATTGTAATTTTACGACACTATTTATAAAATTTGTTGAAACTTTGTTTTTCATATAAATTATTATTATTTTTAATGTATTAAGATCATAAATGAAAATTGTTATCTTGACAAACTTAAAGAGTTTTTATCGGATAAAATATGAAGACAATCATGTCATACAAATGTATTAACATGGTGAGTGTTGATAAATTCTATATTTTATAGCACTGAGAAATTCCTATAAGATATAAAGAAAATGCCAATAAATGATTTATGTGTACTGAAAACATAATTTTTTAGTTTAATAAACTGTATCAAATTTTGGAATTAGGGGTGTCTTAGACTTAACTTTAGTGTTGCGTTTTTCATTAAATTTATATTTAAAACAAGTATAATTAAATATATTATGATATGAACACATATTTAATAATTTAAATCATAATTTTTGAAATTTAAAAAAAAAATTAAATTTTTTGGTATACAAAATTGTTTGAAAATTTTAATGACTCTCAATAAAGTAAATCAATATTGATATTTAAGAATGTCTTGTGCACCAAAATAGTACATTTAAAAATTATAATAATTTAAATATTTAATTATTCTATACAAATCATATTAAATAATGTTAATGATTCCATATAAATTATAAAGAATGTAAATCTAGGTTATTTTTGGATTAAAAATAGTAAATAATAATTTAAAGTTAAAACAATAGAACCAGGGAATATTTCACATAAGAATCACAAAGGTTTGATAAATTAAAAATACTATATGTCACAAATTTGTGTTTATTATTATGTGCGTTTACAATAATTTTGTGTGATATCCTAAAGGATTTATTTATGTAAGAATTTGAGAATGATAAAATACTAACATTAAATGTTCTATATATAAATACTTTTTATTAGTGTAAAACTAGTATTTTTAAATATCCTATAAAAAACACATTTGTATTTTATTTTTCAACAGTATTACTTTTCCATAACAGTAGAAAAAAAAATCAAATAATAGTTCAGTAATAAAAGTTTAACTGTAGTATGTATTTTTAAAAGTACATAATTATTTAACTTGCCAGATAAATATCTTAAACTTCTTATGCGATTTCCACCACTGACATTCATCATTGCTTCCCACAAGTCGGCTTGACGGTTACCTCTTGTGGGTCCCAACACAGAAAATGGTATCATACTATTTATACCAACATTTATGTCTCGAGGAATGACTACATGTGTACGTCGATGAAGTCTCGATTCCCTATACATAAAATGAAAATTTTAGTTGCTTTGATAAAAATAAAATTCTATGTAAGATTTATTACATTGGATCATCAGCTAAGGAATGTTCCAATGAATTAGCTTCTTCAGAACTCATTTCTTCAGGTTCACTTCTTTCTTTAGGAACAGCAATGTCTTGTATATCATGTACACAAGTCCACTCTGATTGTTCATCACTAGTAACATTACGACTTAATACATTCCAACCTTGTGGATGAACCTATAAAAATATATTAACATACATAATTTGCAAAAAAAAAAAAATTATAATAAATAAATACCTGAATAGATGATATTATTTCAGCATCATCATTTCTAGGGAAATCTACAATAAATTCAACTCGGTTGCGTTTACGAGTAAACATATGAGTGTGGGCAGCTGCATTAGGAATGGTAGTTTTACTCAATTGCATTAAACGATACATATTTGGCTATAAAAAAAAAATTAATTAACATAATACAATTAATAAATTATAACTCAAAATTAGAAAATTTAATATTTATTAATACATTGTAATGAGAGAAGTCACCAGTGACACCCGACTAGTTTTTCTTACTGAACAGTATATAATACTTATATAATACCATATAATACTTTACTTAATTAAACTTTCCAAGTTCAAAATGTAATTATATTAAGAGTTAAGAACAAAAACATGTTTACTACTATATTCTTAAGCTTGTGTTACTCTGGTCAGTGATTATAAGTCAAGCTTTAGATATTTACTATTTTAGAAAAATTAATAATTTGTGCATTTCAGGCAATACCTAAATAAATGTAAAATATAAACCTATTCTTTTGACTATAATAACTTATTATATTTAATAACATTAAAAAAATTACATCCTTGCAATAAAAATAATAAATAAAATATGATCAACTTATAAACTTATAACCATGTCAATATAAAATAACAAAAAATAAAACTTGCAATAACAAATTAAAGTATAAAAATAATTAGGAGCTAATGTTTATGTTGAAAACACTATAAACAATATGGTTTTTCATAGTCTTGACAAATGGTTGAAACCATTTTGTATTTTTTCTTGGAATCATTTGAGTCCAATGTCAACCTTAGATTCTCTTAATAACCTACACATCTTCTCCGTTTTTTTCTATTTGAATGTCCAACTTCAATTTCAATCAAGTGATGTGGTATTTTAACAAATTTTGTAGAAACTGAAAAAGTTGTCAACTTTGAAGAAATCACATCACTGAGTAGTTCACGAATGAGATTTTCGGGGAATTTTTTTTACTTGAATTTTACTATTATTTGTGACACTCTTATAAACATTCCATGCATTTAATACAACTGCCGTACTAAAAAGAAACTCGAACGCAACTTTACGGTACCACCTAATGGTTTTTCCAAGAACACTATGGTAGCTAGACATTTAGTCAGAGATATCTACGCCTACACATATCTATACTTATAGGTACAATTAAGAAGCTCGGGTGTCACCGGTGATACCCAGCCGTCCTGGAAAAAGTATTTTTCCATTCCACCCACCGTTATTGTTACAGAAACGTGTTTGCCATTATCAGACAAATTGATTGGTACCAAAATGATTTACTAGATGTCACTGTAAGTGATTTTATTACAGTTTTCATTTTATAGAGGCTATGAATAGATAGCAAAAACGGTGCTCGTCGCCAACGTGTTTAATATAATAAGATTTTTAGAATTTGAGCATTAAGAATCATAGTTAATTTTTTTGTTTCAATTAGCCCGAAAATATAATAAAAATGTATTAAATATAATTTTTTTTACCATATATTTATATTTATTTTTTTTTATCATAATAATTTATTATTCTTAATGTGAATTTATCCTTGCTTGCAGTATTTATAAAATAACCACAAAATGTAATGTTTAACCATCTCAGCTCAAATAAACAATGTCTGCAAAAGGTTTTTTTGAGACATTAAGGGGGTTGGAGCATGTCATATTTTTAATGCATTTAGACAAAAAAGCGGAAGCAAATTTAACATGCTTTTCGTAGCCAGATTTTAATTTAAACTATACGTATACATTTTTTATCTCCTAGAAGAACTAGGAAACCGATTTTCTAATTTTGTCCCAAGTAGTGTTGAAAAACATTTGCTTATTAAATTTTTGTTATAATAATTTCGAAATTGTTTCTTTTATTTAGAAAAATAGAACCATAAATAAAAAAAGTGCTTTCAAGATGTGCTAACTAAGGCGAAAGGTATCAAAATCTTTTTTTAAAATTAAAATCAGACATCGGGAAGTCGATTTGATTTTATTTCCTTTTTGGCAATTTTTGCATTTATGTAAACAATAAAATTACATTTTACCTTGTACGAAATGACATGTATATGCGCGTACGAGAAATAATGTGTTCTCGGAACTAACGTTACGATATCGGATATGAGCATCCACGATAATACATATTAACTTTAATTAAATCTTTAATTTAATCGTAGACAATTATATTTCTTGTTTTCAATGTACGATTAAAAATAAAATTAGAGCCGATAAAATAAAATCCTATTGTGTCTTAGAATTTTTTCACTAAAATAAAATAATATTCTAGAAAAAAGTAAAAGTATGTATTGTATTGATAAGTAATTAGTTGGTTTCTACAATTTAATTTGTTTAGTTGTATGTTAGTTTCAACAATAGTACATTGTAATAAATTCAATAAAATTTGTATATAAAAATTAATAGCGCTATAGATTCGCGTTACGGTACAAAAGTTCGTTGAAGGTTGTTTTCAACAATTAAAAAAAAAAACACTACTTGGGAAATTTGAAATCGGAAAAAAACATTGAAACGATAAAATTAAGAAATAACACTTATGTAAAGTTGTAATTATCTACTAAAATATTCTCAATTATTTTTACACTAAAAAATTTTTTAGTTACAATTTTTATAACAAATAAAACTATAATGTATTTGTAGAAATATATTAGTGGGTAATACAAAATTAATATTTTTAATAAAAGTAAAAATTTCTTTATATTTTAAAATTTAGATTAGATTGTACCTAATGATTTTTATATTTATAAAAATGAATTTTTGCAAGGCACAATTTTAAAAAAATTATATCAAGCACAATTTGCTTTCTATTTAATTAATATGCTTAATAAATAAATATAAGTAAAAAAAAATTACTTTGAATCCTTGAATATCTGCAGCTAATGTTTGTAATTCTAAATTGTTAATAAGTAAGATGAAACCACTTGTTGTACAGATAATCAATTTACTGGAGTCTGGCAGAAGTTTAATTCGCATTAGTCCGTTAATATGACATACAGAATTATTGAGAATTCTACCTTCTTCTGAATAACTATTTAGTACAACATTTAAAAGAATTTTGTAATTTTGAATAATGTATTTATTATAATTATACATAAAATTAAAATTTTTACCTATTGATATCCCAAGTGTAAATTTGTCCATCAAAACCACTAGAAACTAATAAATTGTCTTTTGCTGAGTATTCAATACTTTTTACCCAATTACAATGTCCTTTTAGAAGTTTAATGTGGTCTTTAAGATTACGAATATCCCATAATGCAATAGTTGTATCATCACTACAAGTTGCCATCATTCGAGAATCTAAGAACCTAAAAAAATATAACAATGGTATTTTAGTACATGTTTGGAATGATATTTTATTTAAAAGCAATTTAAAATATACTCAGAAATCATACATTTATTGTTTGAAACATTTTTTAAGATAGCAAAATAAAATATTTGTATATTATATAATTTATATTGTTAAAATAAATACACTTAAGTATTTACTGATAGTTATAATATTACATTTTAAAATAAAATTATAATATTGTATGTATATAGACTGTATAATTTTTTAAATAATTAACAAATTTTTAATAAAATTAATACATTTTAATTCAAAAAATGATTCAGTCTTAAGAAACTAATGCCAAGCAATTTATAAATGTTATGTAATCTTTATAAATTGTTCATTGTAATACATTAATAATTTGTCCAATATTTATAGTTCCTTAAATTTTTAGTGATTTTTTTAATACAACATACAACACATTTTGAAATTTAAAATAAATTAATTAATTGTTGGTTTTGGGATACTTACTTAATACAATTAACACAATCATTATGTGCTTTTTTTATTGATGTTATATACTTTTGTGTAACAGGATCAAACAACATAAAACTTTTCTTTTCACAAGCTGCAGCCAGTATTTTTCTAGATTAAAATGAATTAATGATCAACAATTATTTGTAAGTAATATGTGATTTGTTTTTAAAATATCATAACTTGTTTCATTTAATAAATATGTTTGAATAAACTTTATTAAAAGATAAAGATTGATCATATGATTATTTTATTAGTCGCTTAGAACTCAATAATATATTTATAAAACACAATATTCTACACTGTTGTATAGATTATAAAGGATTAAATTGTAGCAATAAATATAATAGAATATGTTTTTAGAAAATAAATTTAATAATTATTACTATTATATGAACAATATTGCTTTGATTTAAAATTATTTGAACAAAGATGAAGGTTATGGTTAGTTATAGTTACTTGGCGGCAATTACTATAAATATAATTGACCATGATTTAAAAGGTTATGCATTTTTTTTTTCTAAGAATATTCTAACAAACAAAGCACAAGTATTAATAATATACATAAATAAAATTATGTTTCAACATTATTTCAGTTTTTATTATTTTATGGAAAATAAATATTTTGTAAGTAATGCAGATAAGAGATATAGTATTATGTAATCATACTGGAAAATACAATAAATTGTATACATTGAAACATCTCCAATATTATAACAGCGGAAAATATTTATAATAGACATTCATACATAGGTTTGAAAAAGATAATTATTTGATTCATGTTTAAAAATCCTAATTTTTCTAAATGTATGTTAAAATTGCAAGACTAAATGTCTTTTTTTTTTAGAAGATTGTGATTTAAATTAACATATTTAAATGAAATTTGAACTGAAATGATAGAAATATTATTAAATTATGATGTTTAACACGAGCACTTTATCATCACTGAACAAGTTACTTAATAAGTAAAACAGGTGATGAGATAAAAATGCTTACCCATCTGGGGAGAATTCCAAATTGAAAATACCTCCAGGATTGGCTACATCGTCGTTGGACACATCATACTCCCATCTGGCGATCGGATACAAAGACGTGTACATTTCGCAGTGTAGACGACTTTGATCGCCATACTTGGGCCGAAAACCATATTCTCGGTTGCGCAGATAGGTGTCACGAAAGTTGGTGGTCCGCCTGCGCTTGACACTCTGCAGACCGTCCGGGTGGTAGTACGTCACGCTCATGATGGTCGCTGTCGGTTCGCGTGGACGGACCGCCAAGTCTTCGGCGAAAACCACGGTGTTCGTTATCCCCCGTAGGCTGTCGAACAGCGCGCGGTTCGAGTGGGCCGTGATGACTGCACAGGGCCGGGGCCGGGGCCGACGGGTCTCAGACAGCGACGGCGGTCCGGGGATCGAAGTTTTCAAGCGGGTACATGGTGGTTTTGAAAAAAAAAAAAAATCGGATAAATATTCGTATTGCGTGCGTTGTGTGTAGGAAATTTGCGCAATAGAAATCGAGAGTGGACGAGAGAGCAGCAGCAGCAGAGCGGCTATCAGTGAGAAAATAATATTTGACAACGTTATCAACGGTATCCGACGGCGTTATCAGTTTATCAGGAACGTAATCCGCAATGTGTGCCGACCGCAGTAACGAAAATCGTGATCGCGAAAACGGAAAATTTCAGTTGTTTTCACATTAGCAGGTATTCCACGACGACGTGTTTTCGTGCGACGCGATGTTGTCTCGTAAATCTATAATCACGCCTACCGGAGGAATCGCGCGAACCAAAGACGGTTTGATTTGATTTCTTAAACGGCAGAACAGCTGACGGCGAAATGAATATAGTTACACGCTTACGTAACGACACTATGTCCTACGGAGCACGGACGACGCGATTTCTACGCATGGTTTGTCACGATCAGGCGTTCTCAGGGTTTTTTAATAAGGGGGGGGAACATGAAAATGTATTAAAAAGTGAGCATAGAGTAAGTCTTACTCTATGAGGCTAAGCCACCACACCCCCTTTCTTACATAAAAACCACAATAAGTTACAAAATTCATATGTGTAACTTGTGGATAATGATAACAAGTCGAAAAAATATTTATTGATTTCATTAATTTATTTGATTATTACCGGGGCATATAGTTCGTACCTTTAAACAAAAATTGTTTTAAGCTCAATAATATGCTCTCGTAAACATACAAGTGCTGAAATAAACATTGAAAATGCTAAACCATTCAAATAAAAATGTAATATTATATATGAAAATAAATATTTGAGATGTTTTAATTGAAAAAAAAATTTAATTATACTAGGTAGGTACATCATAATTTGCCATTGTAATTTTTTATTTGTTCCGCTATTTTTCTGTTAATAGAAATATGATACAATTGTTTTAACAGTATTTTCACACCTATTAATATTATACTTGCATTGAAAGTTATATTTAATTATTATATGATTCTACAAGTTTTCATTGTTAAATGATCTACGATTTTTATTGAATAGAGTCTTGTACATAGAAAACGATCTCTCGGTGTCCACTGACGGATAAGTGCTAAGATTAAATTATTTTTGTTATTAAGAAAAAAACTCACGGTACACACGCAAGCAAAAATAGTACTCAATTTCAAAATATGCAATAGTAATCAATATAAAATTTCGTATTTACTTTCTAAGTTTGCCGAAACAAATTTATAGCTCACATAGGTATCTCAAGGACCTCTCAAAAAATATATGCAAATGCTAGAATATATAAATCTTGATTATTTCTAAATACCAGTTAAACATGAAAATAAAATCCATTAAAAAAAAAAAAAAGCCATGGGGGATTCATCCCTCATCCCTCCTCCTTGTGAGAACACCCATGATAACGATTATGTGAGATTGATCGACGCCGATTTCCTTACTAAGTATACGTTAAATTTTAAATAAATGCTTATACCATCTGCAAATTTGTCTTATTTTATGGAAATTATATTGTATATTTTCTGTACTGGGAATAAACTGATTCTAAGGTATTTGATGATCATGCGTTTTTGTGACTCCCAACGAATGCGATTTTATTGCACGCTTTCAAATTTTGTTGTATATACTAGAGATGTTTCGGGTACCCGACAATTACTCGATAGCCAAGTACTCAATGTCATAATTAAAGAGAGGATTTAGTTGATATTGCAATTTTTTATTGATACCCAGTAAATCAAATCTTATCAAATATGTATACGAATCAGATTAATTATTGTCTTCCTATTTAATTTAATAATGCAATTTTTGTATACATTACGTGATAAAATACACAAATTATTATTTCCAAAGTGATTTTACAAAAAAAATATAACTTACAACGTAAATTTGTACGTGTACTTAAATGTAGTTTAGGATTTTTTTTTTTTATTTAAAATATAATTACAATCTATACAATAATTTAGTACAATAAGTAATTTAGATATAGTATTTACATATCGAGAATAACAGATGGAGGAGAGCACTCAATAGTGTCACCCGACAGATTAAATTAGAAGGTCTCTAGGCCAGGAGCGTTTTAAACGTCTCTAGGGGTTATCAGGGTTTGTTAGAGAAGATATGCGTTTTATTAATGGATTGTAGTGTTGGATAAACTTGAAATGAAAGGAGACGTAGTGAGACTTTGTTAATTGAGTGAGCGATGGAATATTTAGATCTTTGTGGAGATTATTATTTGTGATAAACCATGGAGCAGAGACAATTTGTCTCAGACAGATAGACTGGAATGCCTGGATTGTTCTCGTGTTGGAGGGTTTGGCAGAACCCCAAATCTGGATGCCATAGGACCAAACAGGTCTGATGATGGTTTTGTATATTAATAGTTTATTTTTTAATGATTTCTTGGATCTAAGAAGTGGGCGGAGTAAATGGAGTCTGGAGTTGATTGTTTTTCTTTTTATTTTAAGGTGTTGGGCCCATGTGAGGCGCCTGTCAAAGATCAAACTAGGTATCTTATTGTCAGGGTGATTGGGATTTGGTTATTATTAAACGATACAGAGGGGCAGTCGCCTGGTCTAAGAGAGAAAGTGATAAAGGATGATTTAGCTTCATTAGTTTTGATCTTCCAGCGATTTGACCATAGTTGAATAGAGTTGAGATCATTTTGTAGCCAGAGAGATATTACCTGGGGGTCAAGGTTTGAAGCCAGGATTATCATGTCGTCAGCATATGTACCCAGTGATGTATGAGGAGAGGTCGGAGTGTCGTGGGCGAATATAGAGTATAAAAAGGGAGCTACGTCGCTTCCTTGAGGGACTCCAGCTAGTATTTGGAAGTTTGACGAGTATCTGTTGTTAACGCGAACACAGAAGGTGCGATTTTCGAGGTATGATTTTAGGAGAAGGTAGTAGGGGGCAGGGAGGAATTTTTTGAGTTTGAAGAGAAGTCCTTCATGCCACACCTTGTCGAAGGCCTGAGCCACGTCAAGGAGTACAGCCGCACAGTAAAGTTTTGATTCCATGCTGATAGAGATTAAGTCGACAATGTGATGGAGTTGGTGGATGGTGGAGTGCTTGGACCTGAATCCAAATTGGTGGTTTGGGATGATGTTGAATTTGTCCGATAGTGGAAGTAGCCTTTTGAGGAGTATTTTTTCAAAAAATTTTGCGAATGTGGGGAGGAGAGAGATTGGTCTATAGGAAGACGGGATATCAGGAGGTTTGTCCGGTTTTGGAATTAGGATTATGTTTGAATGTTTCCAGGCTGTAGGAAAGTAGGATAAACAAAACATAGAGTTGAAAATTAGTGCTAAAAGAATGATAGATTTTTCAGGGAGGTGTTTGACAACTAAGTTGCTTATTAGGTCGTGTCCAGGGGCTTTTTTGGTTGGGAGTTTGCGGATGATGTATTGAATTTCACCCGGGCTAGTATGTTTAGCAGGGAGGGCCATGGGGAGAGGGGATTCAAGAAATCTAGAAATATTTAGAGTATGAATTTTATTTGGGATGATGTTATGTGGTTTGAAAACGTTAGCTAAGTGTTCGGCGAAAATGCTGGCTTTATCGGAGTCAGAGGAGGCCCACGAATTGTTTGGCATACAGAGTGGGGGGGATGGTAGCTTGTGATGGATTAACTTTTTTGTGGCCTTCCATAAAGATAAGTCTTAATTGTGAGGTTTTGGATGTAGTTTTGATAACTTTCGTTTTTGAATTTAAGAATAGCTTTGTTTAATTTATTTTTCAGATAGTTAAAAGTTGCTTTGTCCGATGGGTATTTAGATCTATGCCATTGGGTTCTGGCACTGCGTTTATCGGCGAGTAAGAGCATGATATGGGCAGAAATATTAGTATTATTCCGGTTTGGAGGATGGTTACTCGAGGCAGCGGAGGCAGAATTTTGAATAGTGGAAGTTAAGGAAAGGATAGCGCTGTCGATTTCAGAGGTAGTTTTTAGGGAGGGTTAGGTTACTAATGTTGACGGTTACTAATTTTTTGAATTTAGGCCAGTTTACTCTACCAGAAGTAAGGGAAGGTTTAATTTGTTTAGTAGCCCAGGCACCCACCTCAAGATAAATTGGGGTGTGGTCAGAGGAGAGATCGTTTAAGTTTGATATGGTTGAGTGAATGTGGTTTGGAATTTTGGAAACGAATATATCATAGATATCAGGATGTCTATTACAGTGAGAAGGCTAGTAAGTAGGAGAAGGGGGGGGGAGATTACTGAGTAGTTCATAGTGTCTAAGGCAGATTTGAGTGCACGGCCTCTGGTATTAGCGGAGCGATTTCCCCAGTAGGGGTGTTTTGAATTGAAATCACCTCCAACTATGAATTTTTTACCTAAGGTGGAAAAAAAGGTTTTAAATTCGACAAACAAAATTTTGGGTCCAGGGGGGACAGTAGATTGCAGAAACGGCAATGGGGGTAGAGTTGTCAAAGTTGACTTGGATTGTAGTGGCTTGTAAGTAGGGTTCAGAGTGTGGGGCTAATTGATGATGGGATAAATTGTTTTTAATGTAGATAGCGGTACCAGTGTGGGCAGTACCGTCCGAATGGCAAGTATGATAAACTTGATATCCAAATATTTTTGAGTGAGATGTGGAGGTAAAGTGCGTTTCGGAGATAAGGGCGATGTCGATATTTTTAGCTTCGAGAAAGCAGTGGAATTCGTGCTTATGTTTGGAAAGACCATTGGCGTTCCAGGAGATTAAGGACAGGGGAGAGTTTAGATTAGAATTCAGAGTCATTGGTAACAACTAATTTATTGATGAGAGAGGAGAGGAGGGTTATTAGAGGTGTGATGAGTGATTGGAGCTCATGAATGAATGATGTCAGTTGATTTGAGAGAGGGTTTTCAGGAGGGGAGTCGTTAATAGGGGATTGGGTTTTACCTTTTGTTGCGCTGGCGTAGGAGTTCTGTTGGGTGGCCGAACTGGTTTGTACAAGGTTAGGGTTGGTCTGCCGAGAGATGTCCGAACTGGTGAGGTTTACATGGCTGGTGGTAGATGGGTTGCTTGAGTGTTGATAGTAGTTAGTTTGGGTGTGGTTCTTGAGTTTGGAATATCTTGATCGCAACAGAGTTTTGTGTTTGATGCATCCTTTATAGTTTGTAGGGTGTGCTTCCCCACAGAGAGCGCAGGATGCCGGGGTGTCCTTTGATTTTTCACAGAGTTCAGAGAGGTTACTTTGGCGGCAGCGGACACAATGAGGATCGCGATTTCAATAAGTTTTGGTGTGGCCGTAGTCCTGGC